TTTCAGATCCTGAGACCTCAGCACGATGTCTTACCAACAACAACAGTGCAAGCAGCCCTGCCAGCCTCCTCCTGTGTGCCCACCCCCTAAGTGCCCAGAGCCTTGTCCTCCTCCACAGTGCCCAGAGCCTTGTCCTCCCCCTAAGTGCCCAGAGCCTTGTCCTCCTCCAAAGTGCCCTGAGCCTTGTCCTCCTCCACAGTACCCAGAGCCTTGTCCTCCTCCAAAGTGCCCTGAGCCTTGTCCTCCCCCACAGTGCCCAGAGCCCTGCCCCCCTCAGCCATGCCAGCAGAAATATCCTCCTGTGCAACCTCCTCCAGCCTGCCAGCAGAAGTGCCCACCCAAGAGCAAGTGACTGCTTCCGCTGTCACCGGGACCAAGAGAGGAGAAGGAACTCTGTCTCTGAGGCTTCTGTAGAAACACTCCCATCTTCCCTTCAAAGTCTCTCATGGATGCAGAAGAATCTTCTCCACACTTCACCCTCCATGTGTCTGTGTTGACCCCTGATAAAGAAGGCATCCCCCTGAGGTTGTTCTGCTTCTGTAGTCAAGGGGCTGCTGATAATGATCTCCACACTGGTTCTGTGCCTCTGTTACTCAGAGTGAAGAGCAGCAGCTTTTTCCTGGGGCACTCAGAGGATGTTTTCCACAACTGTCAGTCACCTTGGTTAGGTTGTTGCTACTCTGGTTTCATCTCCTGAATAAAGTACAATCTGGTTGATAGTAGTCATGTGTTCTTTTTTTCTAAAACTCACTCTATTACCTTCCTGATATGCTCCTGTTCCTTTATTTTTATTCTTTGATCCCATTATTGTTGACTACCCAAAGGAGGCATTACCCTCCATGAGGAGGAGATGGGATTTGGGGGAGGTTGGGGAAGTGGGGAGGAGTGGGAGAAGGGGAGGCAGGGGGAACAGGGCTTGGTATGTGAAAGGAAAGAATTTTTTAAATAAAAATTATAAAAAAAGATTATGCTGTATTCAGACCTGAATATGCCACTTAGGACATATTTTCTCCCTACACCTGCAAGTATTTTGCTGTCACTTGTCCCCTTTACTAATGTAATAGTTTACACATCTACAACAACCTATCCTTGCTATGTTTTTCTCCTCCAATATCTGAAGCACCCATGCCAACATTGTATATAAGAACATATACATTTTTCTTAACAAAATAATAAGCAGTTTCATTTATTTGCCTGAAGAGGACATGATATCATTGTGCTTTATGACTGATTATTATTCCAGCACACATAGATACCCCATCCCCCCCCATAGTTTAATTTATTGTTTGACAATTTTATGCAAACATACAATATATCATGATCTTATCTACTGTTCCTCTCCCTGCTCACTCTTCCAAGTACCCCTGGGTACTCCCTCCCTCCCACCTCCATGTCTTTTTGTTGTTGTTGTTAAGTCCAACTACTGCTGTCCGTATGTGCTTGCCACATTTTATAACCCATTCATTCACTGGTGAGAATATAGATGAATTATTTAACTTGCAAATCAGGAGTAGTTGTGAACTCTAGATGAATATGCAGGCATCTCTATTATATGTTCTATTTGACTTCTTTTCATACAAACCCAGGTGATGCTGCTGAATCATGTGACAGTTCTGCTTTAGTGATATTTCTTTGGAGGAAACCCCACACTGATTTCCATATTTGATGGGCTAATCCACTGTCTCACAGTCTGACAGTATATGTTCTTTTTTTCTCCACTCTGCCAGGAATTGAATTGTTGTTATCATTTTGATGATACTTATTCTTATGCGGGTAGAATGGTCTTCTGGTGTAGGTTTGCTTTCCAGTTCTCTAATGGTTACAGATATTGAATATTTCCTTGTTGCTGTTACTTGTGGAAACTCCTAAGTATGCCAAAGCCTTGCCTTTGGTCATACTTAGGTATACTTAGGCAATGTATGCCATAAGATTGGCACATTTAGAGGCATCTAATTAGTACTAAGTAAGTGATAGGATTGGAAGCTGCTGCTCCACATCATTTCCGCCACTCACTACCATCCCCACTTCCATCTGCAACATCCCCATCATCATCACCAAAAACAGAATCATTACCACAAACACTACAAGCTATGACACCAACCAGCACTGCCTATCTCCACTATCATTGTCACCCTCACTATTGTTACCCAACTAAGAGCATCATATCCATGGCCATCATCATTTCCATGACCATTATCTCTAGCACCAAAGACATTATCAAAAAACAAGTTAAATATTGTTAAATGTACAAATGTGTGAGAAAGAGATTCCATCCTGGGAATGTGAGGCTTTCATCAGATCTTCTGTTGCTTGTTATTGTTTACTTCATATGATAATGTAGAATCTTGATTTTTTGAGGGACTTTTTCTTAATGGCATAGATTATATCACAGTTATATATTAAATTAAATGAAGTACTAGTGAAATATTAGAACTTCATGTTCAGACCTGACTTTGGTTCATAAATTCCTTAGAAGTCAGAAAAAAATATGCAGGTTGAACTCAGGTCAACTACACTGAAAAGATAATAAATCTACAAGAATCAAATAGTTAGTTTAATGATAGATTAAAAACTGGAAAGGACAATTGTGTGTGTATTAATGTCTGTGCACACATGTGTTCAATATCTTTGGTCTTGAAGGTTCACACTTGTATAAAGTGTGCTGTGATCCTGTTCATCTGTAGCTGCTCCTCAAGGAGCTTCTATGGAAGAAACTCATGATTGTGTCTCAGCCTGGAAAGAAATTCAGCTGTTCTGACTCCAGTGACAATGCCCTCAGAAGTAGTAGTCTCTATTTTTAAAATAATGTAATTAGCATATATCTTTGTAAAAAGTGAAGTATTTCATCATGATAGTTAAATATATGCATATGGACTCTATTCACCTTCATCCACTGCCTCAACATAGGAGAGCATGCACGTGATACAGGTCTTTGGAGACTTACATGTGTCCCTTAATATGATGCCTTCTTTATAATACCTTTATTAATTCTTTGAAAATATTGTCCAATACATTCCAATGATACTCACTCACTGGCTTACCCACAACTGTCATCTACCCACTGTGCCTTTCCTTCTCTTGCCACCCAACTTTGATTTTTTTTTATTTGCTTGTCCTTGTCCCCATCATTTCCAGTTTGTGTAGTCCCGCTATTCTAGACAGTGGAGCCTACCCTGGAGTGTGGACATCATAGCAAGTGTCACATCATTGAAGAAAACTGACATTCCTCCTCTCAGAACCTATCAACTGCTAATAATTCTTCAGCTAGTGGTGGGATTTCATACTTCACTTCTCTGGTGTGATGAGTGTTGTTCTGCTTGAACTTTCCCATGACTTGTGTATGCTGTGTCAGTAGTTATGAGTTCCAACTTTAAATGTCCTGGTTATGTGAAGGAAACAGTTTCTACCTCTAGTTCTTACAATTTTGATGCTAACTCCTCTGTGAGGGTAATGCTGAACAAACACTAGTTTCTTACTCTCAGCAGTATTTACCAGTTGTGGGTTTCTATGTTAATAATAATGCAAAGAGAAGCTTCTCAGATGATGAGGGAGAGATATATTGATATGAGTATAACAATAAATCATTAGGAATTGTTATGTTGCTTTGTCTGTTTAGCAGAATAATAGTGTTAATTGGATTATCCCCCAGGGCCTATGTCCTATCTAGCTATAGATTTTCTCCCCTATGATAGTGCTAGATATGCACTTTGTCTTACAGAGTAGGACCTTAAATCCAACAGAAAGTGGTTGGTTGTGGCCATACTTTTGTGCCACTGTCATACCAGTGGTCCTATCTTGTCAAGGCAGTCATTGTTGTAGCTTGTAGTGTTCAGAACTGGGTGAGGCTGGCGAGTACATGTCCTCTTCTGCAGTGTACATAGCACCTACCAATATCATGAGGACTGATCAATAAAAATGAAATGAACAGGTGAGTACCTCCTAGTTCTCCACGTTCTCTGACTTAAGCATTGATGTCTGCAGAAAAAAGGGCCTTACCTTGAATTTTTGGAGGATAGACAAGTTACAGGCAATAGTATGTAAGGTAGTAGAGTTAGTCTATGGGACTACACCTTTTAGTAACTAAAATGAGGTAAGGTATTAATGCTACTGAGGATTGCTTTGGTTGATATTAGATATCTACTTGTGGTATTGCACCACTCTCTGAAGTTGTAAGGTAACTGCATTAAAACATTTTGTATATGTATGTATTTTAGTAAGGTTTTAGAGTAGTAGATTTCCATATGGCTTTTTAAAAAGGCTTTAACATTAATCATCTCTCTCCATATGCGCTATATGCTCTGATCTACCCTTCCCTCTCATGTTCCATGACAATATAAATTTTCCCATTGCATACTTTCCCTTTAACTTTTTGTACCTTCTGATGGGGTTATATTCAGAAGAACCTCACATTAACTGACTGTTATACAGGCATCCCAGATCAGTAGGCAGTTTTGTAATTTGGCATGACTGAGTCCAGACCTTGCCTAAGATGATGATTTAGGTGTGATATGCAAATATGGAGAGTAGTAAGTCTCCTACTCACCTGGTTCTATGATATATGCACTAACCTTTATGAGCCATCCACTGGTGGTGCATTTTGTGGCACCTGGCCTCAGGTCTAGACTTGATGACTCTTTCCCTTCAGGGACATGGACAATGACATTCTCAGCTAAACCCTTCCTTACTGTCAGAAGCATTGACAGTCACAGGAAGCTGACATGCTTCACTGAGGTTGATTCAGTACCTGTGTGCTTCTCAGAGCAGAGCTGGAGCTAGTAACGGCTTTGCTCATCTTCCCCGTTCTATTCTTCCATCTCTAATTATAAAGCAACTTAAAAGACCGAAGAGAATATTTTTCTCTTCTCTGAACTCTTTGTTCTCTCTCAGTAGTTTCTGGATTCTTACATTCTTCTGTGTTTTGTTTTATATCATAGTGAACTTCCTGTGACATCACAAGTGATAGTAGTGATAGCAGTTACTGTCATCACTGAGACAGCTCAGTATTTTAGAACTTAAACTTCACCAGCCCTTCTTGAAGATAATGTTTTCTGTAAGTACCATCACTCTATCCTTTGTAAGAAACATGTTTACTTACAGAAAAGGTGAAAAAAAGGGATGGTTTTTTAGGTTAATGAATCCAAATGGTGATATGGAAGGGAAAGTCAGGAAGTCTTGAGCAGGAGTTAGATTGAGGGATGGTTCTGATATTTCATAAAATTGAGATTCTTTCTCTGTGGGGAATTATCTCTTGTGAGAATTGTCCCACAGAGTCTTTCAGATCCTGAGACTTCAGCACGATGTCTTACCAACAACAGCAGTGTATGCAGCCCTGCCAGCCTCCTCCTGTGTGCCCACCCACAAAGTGCCCAGAGATTTGTCCACTCTCAAAATGTTCTGGCTTTGTCTTTCTCCAGAGCCTGGGTTTCTCTCAAAGTGTTCAATGTCAATCAAGAATTACAAAACACCCAATTTTTAATTCATTCTGTCAGTTTTTATGCAGCAATGAATCATTAATATACATTAGAAAATTAGGAAGTGATATATGTAGCTATGTGGCAGATAAAAATGTAAGACTGGTGCTCTGTCTATCTTTTATATGTCTGTCCATCTCTGATGCTCTCTCTGACTTTTGGTGTGCATGTGTAAGAATGAGCACACATGTTGTATATGAAGCATTCAAAACACTGTAAGTTTTGCAAGGTCTCATAGAAACTCCCGTTTGAGTGTATCACACCCACAGGTCGGCTCCATAGCCCTTCTCACAAGGTAACTGTGAGAGATTATGAGTCTTCATACTAACCACCCAAGGAAGAACATGCTTAGGGCAGGTGCAATTTTAGTTCCTCAACCATCATGATAAGCAGTCTTATGGTCATCATCATTGGGGAGTCTAAACATATACCAGCAGTATGTGGCTTGAGATGTCAGTCCTGAAGAGGGTCAGGATAAGTCCTAAGCACATCACGCTCCCCCATGAACAGCATATTCTGTGTTCCTAGGGTTACAGAAAAGAATTCAAACTAGGCAGGAGACATGACCTGTCCCTGGGAACAGGGTTGTCAAAGATGAAGCTGAATCCACAGCCAAAGTCCCCAGTATTACTTTCCTTCTTTCAGCACACAGGCAGATTATATCTTGAAAACAAAAATGTAAATGGCCCAATACATCAAAGAGCATCAATGAGCTGAAACAGAACACAGAGTTGTAATAGAGAAAAGAAATACTGTCTTCAGTCAAGGAAACAACTCAGACAACCAGAGAGTTCTTGCTGAAACTGAAAAGACAAGAGGGCCCAATGAGTCACAGAACTTTACAGGGATGATGTCCTGGTAAAGGATATTTCCTACTTTGTAGAGTCCCAGTTCAGCCAGTCATGCATGGATTTGCATTTTGGTTGGGAAATTCTTGGACCAGCCCATGGTCAATCATCTGTACTTCAAATGGGCTGGGCAACCAGTCCTATAAAAAGGACCTTTGCTGCATGACTGCAGACTCCTGGTACTCAAGTCCTGGACTACTTTGGAGAACCTGGTGAGTGTCATTTGTTGAGTTGGTCTGTCTTTATGGTCTTCTTATGTGCTGTAGTCAGTTTTGAGGGAGTAAGTGTGATCAGTCCTATTATGATCAAAAGATGCAGGTATCTACTTTGCAGGCAGAAAATTATCAATGGTCACACTAGTCCACTGTGAGAGGTGGCTATTCCTTTTATTTGTTATGTGAATGACGAGAGCATTTTTCTATTTCATATGCATCTTTTGGTGTAATTTTTTTTATAGCTCTCTACCTTAGCAGACATTAGAACCTGGGATTTACCTGAGCTGTTCTCAATTCTGCATCTCCACATTACCTGCTGCTGCTTGTCACAAGTGACAAGAAAGGCCGGAATTGGATCTGAGATTGGTCAGGCTTCTAGAACCTGAGAATGCTTGTCTTGAAGATGTTTAGTATGAAATCAGCCATATTTGTTTAATTGGAACAAAATATTTCCTCATAACAAAAAGACACCAAACAAAGATTATTTTGTAAACTTGTGCCATAAATTGCTGGTAGGAACGGGAAATGCCAGCATGTTCTAAAGCATGAATTGGGAAATATGTGCATGCCTGGAGAGAGAAATGGATTTGATGTTCCATGTCTCCATCAGTCTTCTTGTGTGGATCCTTTCTGAACACTCTCATGTAATGTCTTTCAGATCCTGAGACCTCAGCACGATGTCTTACCACCAACAACAGTGCAAGCAGCCCTGCCAGCCTCCTCCTGTGTGCCCACCCCCTAAGTGCCCAGAGCCTTGTCCTCCTCCACAGTGCCCAGAGCCTTGTCCTCCCCCTAAGTGCCCAGAGCCTTGTCCTCCCCCAAAGTGCCCAGAGCCTTGTCCTCCTCCAAAGTGCCCAGAGCCTTGTCCTCCTCCACAGTGCCCAGAGCCTTGTCCTCCTCCACAGTGCCCAGAGCCTTGTCCACCCCCAAAGTGTCCAGAGCCTTTTCCTCCCGCAAAGTGCCCTGAGCCCTGCCCCCCTCAGCCATGCCAGCAGAAATGTCCTCCTGTGCAACCTCCTCCAGCCTGCCAGCAGAAGTGCCCACCCAAGAGCTAGTGAGTGCTTCCGCTGTCACCGGGACCAAGTGAGAAGAATGAAATCTGTCTCTGAGGCTTCTGTAGAAACACTCCCATCTTCCCTTCAAAGTCTCTCATGGATGCAGAAAAATCTTCTCCACTCTCTATCCCCCATGTTTCTGTGTTGATTCCTCACAAGGAAAGGGTTCAATGAGGTTGGTCTGCTTCTGCCTTCATGGGGCTGCTGAGAATGATCCTTCCACACTGGTTCTGTGCACCTGCGACTCAGGGTGAAGACCAGAAGCTTTTCCCCCTGGGCTCTGAGAGGATGGTTTTCAAAACTGTCAGTCAACTTGGTTGCATTGTTGTTACTCTGGTTACATCTCCTGAATAAAGTACCATTTTCTTGATAGTATTTGTATGTTCTTTTCTCTAAAACTCACTCTATTACCTTCTTGATATTCTCTTGTTCCTTTATTTTATACTTTTATCCCCTGGACATTCTACTATAGTCAAATTTAGACTGAATTTTGGGTCCTAACAAATATTACATAATGTTAGTTTTCTTGAGTGACACATTATTTCACTCTGTATACCTATAATCTCTCCCTTAGCACATGCTAAGTCAGGAAGATAATATTATATTGATATACATACCTCTTTCCCCCTTATATAGCCATGTATTTTGCTCTTACTTTCACCCCTCATCTCACCTAATATTTACACATCCACATCAACCTAACTTTGTTACATTTTTCTTCTTTGATATTTGAAACATCCACGCCAGCCTTGTATATAAGAGATATGTAATTTTCTTAACATGATGATATGCAGTTTCAATTGTTTGCTTGAACAGCACAGGATATCATTTTTTTTGACTCATTAATACTCGAGCACACATAGATGCCACATTTTCTTAACCCATTCATTCACTGGTAGGCAGATAGATGAATTATTTAACTTGCATGTTAGGAGTAGTTCTGATCTCTGGATGGATATTCAGGCATCTCTATTGTATGTTCTATGTGATGACTTATTTTCATATGAACCCAAGTGATGTTACTAAATCATATGACATTTCTGCTTTAGTGTTATTTCTTTGGAGGAAACCCCACACTGATTTCCATATTTGATGGGTTAATCTACTCTCTGACAGTTTGGGTTCATTTATTTTTATTATTTTTTTTGAGACAGGGTTTCTCCGTGTAGTTTTGGTTCCTGTCCTGGATATTGTAGAACAGTCTGGCCACAAAGTCACAGAGATCTGCCTAGCTCTGCCTCCCCGAGTTCTGGGATTAAAGACATGCACCACCACCACCACCACCTGGTTCAGTTTATGTTCATTTTCTTCCACTCCTCTGCCAGGAATTGAACTGTTGTTATTGTTTTGATGGTACTCATTCTTACATGGGTAGAATGGTCTTCTGGTGTACGTTTGCTTTCCAGTTCTCTAATGGCTATGGATGTTGAACATTTTCTTGTTACTTTTACTTGTGGAAACTCCTGAGTATGACATTGTCTTGCCTTTGGTCATAATTGAACTAATGCATGCCATTTGATTGACACATTCCAAGACACCCAATTCGTACTAAGCTAGTGACAGGATTGGAAGCTGCTGCTCCACATCATTTCCACTACCCTCACTACCATTTCCGCTTCTATCTGCAACATCCCCATTGTCATCAATAGTAGAATCATTACCACAATCACTACAGGCTGTGACTCTAGCTAGCCCTACCTCTCTCCACTATCATTGTCACACTCTCTACTCTTACCCCACCCAGAGTTCCATACCCATGTCCGTGATATTATCCACAGCATCAACAGCATTATCAAAAAAAATGAATAAAATATTGTTAAATGTGCCGGGCGGTGGTGGCGCACGCCTTTAATCCCAGCACTCGGGAGGCAGAGGCAGGCGGATCTCTGTGAGTTCGAGGCCAGCCTGGGCTACCAAGTGAGTTCCAGGAAAGGCGCAAAGCTACGCAGAGAAACCCTGTCTCGAAAAACCAAAAAAAAAAAAATATATTGTTAAATGTACAAATATGTGGGTAAGAGATTCCATCCAAGGAATGTGAGGCTTACATTGGACCTTCCGTTGCTTGTTATTGCTTTTTTTCATATGATAATGTAGAATCTTGATGTTTTGAGGGACTATTTCTTAATGGTATAGATTATAGCATAGTAAAATATCAAATTAAATGGAGAACTAGTTAAATATTAGAACTTCGTGTTCAGACCTGTCTTTGGCTCATAAAATTCCTTAGAAGTCAGGATAAAAATATGCAGGTTGAACTCAGGGTCAACTACACCAAAAAGATCATAAATCTACAAGAATCAAATATTTAGTTTAATGATAGATGAAAACTGGAAATGACCATTGTGTGTATAAATGTCTGTGCACACATGTGTTCCATGTTTCTTGTCTTGAAGGTTCACACTTGCAGAAAATGTGCTATGATCCTGTTCATCTGTGGCTGCTCTTCATGGAGCTTCTGTGGAAGGAATTCACCTTTGTTGTCTCAGCCTGATAAGAGAGTCAGCTACTTTAAATCTGGTGCCAGTACAATCAGAATAAGTAGCCTCTATTTTGAAAATAATGTCACTAAAATATATCATTATAAAAAGTGAAGGATTTCGTGGCTGGAGAGATGGTTCAGAGGTTAAGAGCACTGGCTGCTCTTCCAGAGGTCCTGAGTTCAATTCCCAGCAACCACATGGTGGCTAAAAACCATCTGTAATGAGATCTGGTACCCTGGCCTGCAGGCAAACACTGTATACATAATAAATAAATCTTAAAAAAAATCAACTTTAAAATAAAAGTGGAGGATTTCAACATGATAGTTAAATATATGCAAATGGACTGTATTCACCTTCATACACTGCCTCAAAACAGGAGAGCAAACATGTGATACTTGTGTCTGGAGACTAGCATGTGTCTTTTAATATGATTCTTTCTTTAAAATATCACCTTGATTAATTCTTTGAAAATATTGTCCAATGCATTCCAATGATATTCACTCACTGGCTTACCCACAACTGTCATCTACCCACTGTGCCTTTCCTTCTCTTGCCACCCAACTTTGATTTCTTTTTATTTGCTTGTCCTTGTCCCCATCACTTCCAGTTTGTGTAGTCCCGCTATTCTAGACAGTGGAGCCTACCCTGGAGTGTGGACAACATAGTAAGTGTCACATCATTGAAGAAAACTGACATTCCTTCTCTCAGAACCTATCAACTGCTGATAACTCCTCAGCTAGTGGTGGGATTTCATACTTCACTTCTCTGGTGTGATGAGTTTTGGTCTGGCCTGAGCTTTCCCATGACTTGTGTACGCTGTGTCAGTAGTTATGAGTTCCAACATTAAGTGTCCTGGTTATGTGAAGAAAACCGTTTTGACCTCTAGTTCTTATAATTTTGATGCCAAATCCTCTGTGAGGTTAATGCTGAACAAATACTAGTTTCTTATTCTCAGCATCATTTGTGGGTCTCTTTGTTAATACTACAGCAAAGAGAAGCTTCTTAGATGAAGAAGGAGAGGTATAGTGATGTGAGTATAACAATAAATCATTAGGAATTGTTATGTTTCTTTGTCTGTTTAGCAGAAGAATAGTGTTAATTGAATTATCTCCCAGGGCCTATGACTTAGCTATCTATAGATTCTCTCTCCTATAATACTGCTAGATATGCACTTTGTCTTACAGAATAGGACCTTAAATCCAAACAGAAAGTGGTTGATTGCTCCCATACATTTGTGCCACTGTCATACCAGTGGTCCTATCTTGTCAAGGCAGGCATGGTTGTAGCTTGCAGTGTTCAGAAGTAGGTGAGGCTGGCGAGTATATGTCCTCTTCTGCAATGTGCATAGCACTTTCCATATCATGAGGACTGATCAATACAAATGAAGTGAACAGGTGAGTACCTCCATGTTCTCTGACTTAAGCATTATGTCTGCAGAAATAGGGTCATACCATGGTATTCTGGAAGATTGAAAAGTTACAGGCCGTAGTCTGTAAGAAAGTGGTGTCATTCTCTGGGATATCACCTGCTAGCAACTAGAAATTGGTAAGTGATTAGTGCTACTGAGGATAGCTTTGGTTGATATTAGGTATCTACTTGTGGTATTGCATCACCCTCTGAAGTTGTAAGGTAAATGCATTAAAATATTTTATATATGTATGTATTTTATAAAGGTTTTAGAGTAGAGTTTTCCATATGGCTTTTTCAAAAAGTCTTTAACGTTATCATCTCTCTATATATGCTCTATATGCCCTGATCTACCCTTCTTCTCATGTTCCATAACAATGTAAGTTCTCCCTTTGCATTGTTTGTTGTTGGAGGGCTTCTCTCCAGGTTCCACCAAGCCCCGCAGTCCACAATCCATGTATAAAATAATTACTCAGACACTTATATCACTTATAAACTGTATGGCCATGGCAAGCTTCTTGCTAACTGTTCTTATATCTTAAATTAACCCATCTCCATTAATCTATACCTTGCCACATGGCTGGTGGCTTACCGGCGTCTTTACATGTTGCTTGTCCTGGCGGTGGCTGCACTAGCAGTTATAGTTACAACTTAGTATATATAATATCTTAGATAGAACATATTAAGTATTAGATTCAGGTTCTTTAGGATAGGACACCTTTTGGAATGATCTTTATAACATGCCATTTACCTATGCTCTATACTTCTCTGGATTTTAGTGTGTGTTTCTTGCTTGATATTGTTTGCATTGGTTGTAGTTCCATCTTATCTAGGTCATTATCCCTCATTATTCCTGGACAATATTTGATAACCATTCCTTTGTATATAGTCTTGTACTAGTTTAGAACCTTATTTAGACAAAAAGGGGGAGATGTAGTGGGTAGCCATTCCAGCTTGGATCTGGAAGTTCCAACCCCCATTGAGACTCTGGCAACTGTCGCCTATGAGGTGGGGCCAAGGGAGGCATCTGGAGACCTGAGACCTGGATGGGTGAGCGCTCTTTTTGTTCCTGGACGCTAGACGGTGGAGGTTGACTGAGCAGAGCTCCAGAGAACACTGCTGGACTGCGATACACCTTCCCCAGAACCCCACAATCTACCTATTCCTTCATTTGTAAGTCACCCACTCAATAAATCTTCCTTTTAACTATGTGGAGTGGCCTTAATAATTTCACCAATAACTGTTTTTCTTTAACCTTTTATGTTCTTCTGAGTTGGCTATATTCAGAAGAAGAACCTCACATTAACTGACTCTGGCATCCCAGCACAGTAGGTAATTTTGTAATTTGGCATGACTGAGTCCAGACCTTGCCTAAGATGATGATTTAGGTGTGATATGCAAATATGGAGAGTAGTAAGTCTCCTACTCACCTGGTTCTATGATATGTGCACTAACCTTTATGAGCCATCCACTGGTGGTACATTTCGTGGTAAATGGCCTCAGGTGTAGAACTGATGACTCTTTCATGGACAATAACATTCTCTGCCAAACCCTTCCTTACTGTCGGAAGCATTGACAGTCTCAGGAAGCTGACATGCTTCACTGAGGTTGATTCAGTACCTGTGTGCTTCTCAGAGCAGCGCTGGAGCTAGTAACGGCTTTGCTTCATCTTCCTCATTCTATTCTTCCATCTTTAATTAAAACGCAACTTAAAGGACCAAAGATAATATTTTTCTCTTCTCTGATCTCTTTGTTCTCACTTTTAGTAGGTTCTGGAATTTTACATTCTTCTGTGTTTTGTTTTATATGATAGCCAACTTCCTGTGACATCACCAGTGGTAACAGTGACAGCAGTTACTGTCACCTCTGAGGGAACTCCATATTCTAGACCTTAAACTTTAGGCTGCCGTTCTTGGAGATGATGTTTTCTGCCAGAACCATCACTCTATGCTTTGAAAGAAAGACGGTTACTCATAGAAAATGTGGAAAAAGGAATGGTTTTCTAGGTTAATTAACAAATATGGTGACATAGATGGAAAAGCCAGGAAGTCTTCTGGAAGAGGTAGAATTGAAGAATAGATCTGATTGTTCATAAACTTGACATTCTTTCTCTGTGGAGAATTACCTCTTGTCAAAATTGTCCCATAGTGTCTTTTGATCCTGAGATTTCAGCACGATGTCTTACCAACAGCAGCAGTACAAGCAACCCTGCCAGCCTCATCCTGTGTGCCCACCCACAAAGAGCAGAGCCTTGTCCACTCTCAAAGTCCCCTGGGCCTTGTCTTCCTCTAAACATTCCAGACCCTTGGCTCCCTCAAATTGTTCAAATGTCAATCAAGAATTATGAAACACCCAAATTTAATTCATTCTGTCAGTTTTATGCAGCAACGAGTCATTAATATATATATATTAGTAAATTGAGAAGTGATATATGTATGTAGCTTTGTAGCATATAAAAATATAAGACTGTTACTCTATTTATCTGTCTGTGTCTGTCTGTCCATCTATGATGCTTTGTTGGTCTGTTTGTCTGTGTGCATGTGTAAGAATGAGCACATATGTTGTATATGAAGGATTCAGAACAAGAGTTTTGGAAGGTTTCATAGAAACTCCTGTTTGAGTGTTCCACAGGTCTTCCCACAAAGAATTGTGAAAGATTGTAAGTCTTCATGCTTACATCCTAAGCAAGAACATGCTTAGAGCAGGTGCAATTTTATTTCCTCAACCATCATGATAAGCAGTCTTATGGTCATCATCAGAAGGGAGTCTAAACTTATACCACCAGTATGTAGTTTGAGATGTCAGTCCTGAAGAGGGTCAGGGTAAGGCCTAAGCACATCACCCTCCCCCATGAACAGCATATTCTATGTTCCCAGGGTTACAGAAAAGAATTCAAACTAGGCAGGAGACATGACCTGTCCCTGGGAATAGGATTGTAAAGATGAAGCTGAATCCACAGCCAAAGTCCCCAGTAACACTTTCCTTCTTACAGCACGCAGGCAGATTATACCATAGAAACAGGAATATAAAAGGGACAATACATCAAAGAGCATCAATGAGCTGAAACAGAACACAGAGAGTTGTAATAGAGAACAGAAATATTGTCTTCAATCAAGGAAACAACTTAGACAACCAGAGAGTTCTTGCTGAAACTGAAAAGACAAGAGGGCACAATGAGTCACAGAACTTTACAGGGATGATGTCCTGGTAAAGGATATTTCCTACTTTGTAGAGTCCCGGTCCAGCCAGTCATGCATGGATTTGCATTTTGGTTGGGAAATTCTTGGACCTGCCCACGGTCAGTCATCTGTACTTCCACTGGGCTGGGCAACCAGTCCTATAAAAAGGACCTTTGCTGCATTACTGCAGACTCCTTGTACTCAAGTCCTGGACTACTTTGGAGAACCCGGTGAGTGTCCTTTGTTGAGTTGGTCTGTCTTTATGGTCTTCTTATGTGCTGTAGTCAGTTTTGAGGGAGTAAGTGTGATCAGTCCTATTATGATCAAAAGATGCAGGTATCTACTTTGCAGGCAGAAAATTATCAATGGTCACACTAGTCCACCGTGAGAGGTGGCTATTCCTTTTATTTGTTATGTGAATGACGAGAGCATTTTTCTGTTTCATATGCATCTTTTGGTGTAACTTTTTTTTTTTTATAGCTCTCTACCTTAGCAGGCATTAGAACCTGGGATTTACCTGAGCTGTTCTCAATTCTGCAACTCACATAACCTGCTGCTGCTTGTCACAAGTGACAAGAAAGGCAGGAATTGGATCTGAGATTGGTCAGGCTTCTAGAACCTGAGAATGCCTGTCTTGAAGATGTTTAGTATGAAATCAGCTTTATTTGTTTCATTGGAACAAAATATTTCCTCATAACAAAAAGACACCAAACAAAGATTATTTTGTAAAGCTTGTGCCATAAATTGCTGGTAGGAAAGGGAAATACCAGCATGTTATAAAGCATGAATTGGGAAATATGTGCATGCCTGGAGAGAGAAATGGATTTATGTCCCCTATCTCCATCAATCTTCTCTGTGTGGATCATCCCTGAACACTCTCATGTAATGTCTTTCAGATCCTGAGACCTCAGCACGATGTCTTACCAACAACAACAGTGCAAGCAGCCCTGCCAGCCTCCTCCTGTGTGCCCACCCCCTAAGTGCCCAGAGCCTTGTCCTCCTCCACAGTGCCCAGAGCCTTGTCCTCCCCCTAAGTGCCCAGAGCCTTGTCCTCCCCCAAAGTGCCCAGAGCCTTGTCCTCCTCCAAAGTGCCCAGAGCCTTGTCCTCCTCCACAGTGCCCAGAGCCTTGTCCTCCCCCAAAGTGCCCAGAGCCTTGTCCTCCTCCACAGTGCCCAGAACCTTGTCCTCCCCCAAAGTGCCCAGAGCCCTGCCCCCCTCAGCCATGCCAGCAGAAATGTCCTCCTGTGCAACCTCCTCCAGCCTGCCAGCAGAAGTGCCCACCCAAGAGCAAGTGACTGCTTCGGCTGTCACCAGGACCAAGAGAGAAGAATGAAATCTGTCTCTGAGGCTTCTGTAGAAACACTCCCATCTTCTTTTCAAAGTCTCTCAAGAACGCAGAAGAATCTTCTCCATATACACCCTCCATGTGTCTGTGTTGACCCGTGATAGCGAAGGTGTTCCTCTGAGGTTGTTCTGCTTCTGCAGTCAAGGGGCTGCTGAGAATGATCCTTCCACACTGGTTCTGTGCACCTGTTACTCAGAGTGAAGAGCAGCAGCTTTTTCCTGGGGCACTCAGAGGATGTTTTCCACAACTGTCAGTCACCTTGATTAGATTGTTGCCACTCTGGTTTCATCTTCTGAATAAAGTACAATCTGGTTGATAGTAGTCATGTGTTCTTTTTTTTTTTTTAAAAAAACTAATTCTATTACCTTCCTGATATGCTCCTGTTCCTTTATTTTTATACTTTGACCCCCAGGTCATTCTGCTGTAATCAGATTTTGACTGCATTTTGGGTCATAACAAAGATTACTTAGTGTTTATTTGCTTGAGAGACATGTTATTTCATTGTGTATAACAACAGTTCTTCAGCAAAATGCTCACTTAAGAGTATTATGCAGCTATAATCTTTCCTCCTTATCTTCAACTGAATTCAGGATCTTGGCTGAGTGCTTAGCTGTGGGTCTCTGCATCTGCTTCCATCAGTTACTAGATGTAGGTTCTATGATGACAATTAGGATAGACACCAATCTGAGTGCAACAGGGGTCATGATCATGATGGGAAAAACCACAGAGATAGCTGACCCAAGCTACTGGGAGCTCATGAACTCTGGGCTGACAGCTGGGGAGCCTGCATAGGATCATATTAGACCCTCTGAATGTGGGTGGAAGTTTCATAGCTTGATGTGTTTGTGGGTCCCCTGGCAATGGGATAAGGACTTATCCTGGGTATGTGAACTGGTTTTGTAGAGTCTGTTCCCTACAGTTCAATGCCTTACTCAGCCTTGATGCCGGGGGGAGTGACTAGGCCCGGCCACAACTTGGTAAACCAGCCTGTGTTGACTACCCAAGGGAGGCCTTACCCTCTATGAGGAGGAGGTGTGGGTGGGATAGGGGAAGGTGTGGGGGGAGTGGGAGAAAGTGTTTAAAATATTGAAGGAGGAAAAACATAATAAAGATAGGCTGATGTAGATGTGTAACTATTAAGTAATTTAATAATTATAGTCATTAACATGACTTAAAAATATTGAAAACAACATAAACCCTCAGTCATAGAGCACTGACAATAAATCATGATATAGTCAATTAAGCAATTACTCTAACAGGTATATATAAAAACAGAAAGTGAAGAAATATAGAGTGATTTGAAAGATATAAATAAATAAAAAGACTATGTGCTACATACACCCCCCCCAAAAAAAAGAGCATATATATTTTTCTTTAAAAAATGATAAGCAGTTTCATTTATTTGCCCGAAGAGGACATGACTATAGGTGTAATTCTGAACAGTTTTATTAAATAAGAAACACAAAGCCAAATGCAAAGTTAAAAGCCCAAGAGGTCAGAGCAGCAGCCAAGAGCTAAGACCAAGACCGCCTTCTTACCCCTCGCTGTCAATGTCGTCCTTCCCCCCCAGTAAAAGACCTACTTCCTGTGTGTCTGTCTTTTTATTGACTTTCTGTTCTGCCTTCTCATTGGTTGTAAACCCCACCACATGACCTCCTCATCACTCCCTATCTGTACAGACCTCCATGTCCCTATGGATGGTATTGAGATTAAAGGCGTGTGTCTCCGTGCTGGCTATGTCCTTGAACACACAGAGATCTGCCTGTCATGTGATCAGGTTTAAGGACATGTACTACCACTGCCAGAATTCTGTTAAGTGGCTTGCTTTGAACCCCAGGCAACTTTATTTATTAACATACAAATAAAATCACATTTCAGCACAAATAAAATATCACCATGCTTGATATCATTATTCTTTATGACTGATTATTATTCCAGTACACATAGATCCTATATTTTCTTAACCCATTCATTCACTGGTGAGCAGATATCATAGATTATTTAGTTTGCTTATTAGGAGTTGATCTGAACTCTAGATGGATATGTAGACATCTCTATTGTATACTCTATTTGACTTTTTTTTAATATGAACCCAAGTGATGCTGCTGAATCATGTGACAGTTTTGCTTTAGTGTTATTTCTTTGGAGGAAATCCCGCACTGATTTCTATATATGATGGATTAATTTACTCTCTCACAGTCTGACAGTTTGTGTTCTTTTTCCTCCACTCCTCTGCCAGGAATTGAATTGTTGTTATTATTTTGATGGTACTCTTTCTTGTATGGGTAGAATGGTCTTCTGGTGTAGGTTTTCTCTCCAGTTCTCTAATGGCTACAGACGTTGAACATTCTCTTGTAACTGTTACGTGTGGAAACTTGTAAGTAGCCAAAGCCTTGCCTTTGGTCATAATTGAACTAATGATTGGCACATTCAGAGGCATCAGATTAGTACTAAGTAAGTGATAGGATTGGAAGCTGCTGCTCCACGTCATTTCTGCCACCCTCACTACCATCCCCACTTCCATCTGCAACATCCCCATCATCATCATCACCAAAAGTAGAATCATTACCACAATCACTACAAGGTATGACACCAACTAGCACTGCTATCATTGTCACCCTCACTACTATTACCCCACTCCACGCACCATATCCATGTCTATCACCATTTCCAGCACCAATGACTTTATCACAAAAACAAGTCAAATATTGTTAAACGTATAAAGGTGTGAAAAGGAATTCCAGCCAAGGAATGTGAGGCTTGCATTGGACCTTCTGTTGCTTGTTATTGATTTTTTTCATATAATAATGTAGAATCTTGATTTTTTTCAGGGACTTTTTCTTAATGCCATAGATTATATCATAGTAAAATATTGAATTAAATGGAGAACTAGCAAAATATCAGAACTTTGTGTACAGGCCTGTCATTGATTTATAATATTCCTTAGAAGTCAGGATAAAAAATATGCAGGTTGAACTCAGGATCAACTACACTGAAAAGATCATAAAACTAAGGGCAACAAATATTTAGTTTAGTGATAGATGACAACTGGAAAGGCACATTGTGTGTATATCAATGTCTGTGCACACATGTGTTCCATGTCTCTGTCTTGAAGGTTCACACCTGGAGAAAGTGTGCTGTGCATCCTGTTCATCTGTGGCTGCTCTTCATTGAGCGTCTGTGGAAGGAGCTCTCCTTTGGTGTCTCAGCCTGGAAAGAGATTCTTTCCTCTGACTCTGGTGCAGTCAGAATTAGTAGACTCTATTTTGAAAATAATGTAATTATAATATATCATTATAAAATGTGAAGAATTTCATCATGATACTTAAATATATGCATATGGACTGTATTCATCTTCATCCACTGCCTCAATACAGGAGAGGAAACACATAATACTTGTCTGTGGAGACTTCCATGTGTCCTGTAATATGAGCCTTCTTTAAAATATCATTTTTATTAATTATTTGAAAATATTATCCAATACATTCCAGTGATATTCACTCACTGGCTTACCCACAACTGTCATCCATCTACTGTGCCTTTCCTTCTCTTGTCACCCAACTTTGATTTCTTTTTACATGCTTGTCCTTGTCCCCATCACTTCCAGTTTGTGTAGTCCAGCTATTCTAGACAGTGGGGCCTACCCTGAGGTATGGACAACATAGCAAGTGTCACATCATTGAAGAAAACTGACATTCCTCCTCTCAGAACCTATCAACTGCTAATAATTCTTCAGCTAGTGGTGGAATTTCTTAATTCCCTTCTCTTGTGTGATGACTTTGGTCTGGCTTGAGCTTTCCCATGGCTTATGTATGCTATGTCAGTAGTTATGAGTTATAACATTAAATGGCCTGGTTATATGAATAAAACAGTTTCTACCTCTAATTCTTACAATTTTGATGCCAATTCCTCTGTGAGGGTAATGCTGAACAAACACTAGTTTCTTACTCTCAGCACCATTTATCAGTTGTGGGTCTCTTTGTTAATACTACTGCAAAGAGAAGCTTCTCAGATGATGAAGGAGAGATATATTGGTATGAGTATAACAATAAATTGTTACGAATTGTTACATTGCTTTGTCTGTTTAGTAGAATAATAGTGTTAATTATATTATCCCCTAGGGCCCATGTCCTATCTACCTATATATAGATGGTGTCCCTTATAATAGTGCTAGATATGTACTTTGTCTTACACAGTAGGACCTTAAGTCTAAAAACAAAGTGATTGGTTGTTCCCATACATTTGTGCCACTACTATACCAGTGGTCTGCTCTTGTCAAGTCAGTCATTGTTGTAGTTTGCAGTGTTCACAACTGGGTGAGGGTGGTAAGCACTTTTCTCCTACAGTGTACAAAGCACCTTCTAATATCATGAGGGCTGGCCTGTAGGAATGAAGTGTCCAAGTTAGTACCTCCTAGATTTCTTCATGTTCTCTGACTTAAGCATTGATTTCTACAGAAATAGTGCCTTACTTTGAAGTTTTAGAGGATAGAAAAGTTATAGGCAATAGTCTGTAAGAGATTGGAGTTAGTCTATGGGACCCCACCTATTAGCAACATAAAAAGAAGTAAGCTATTACAGCTACTGAGGGTTGCAGTGGTTGATATTAGGTATCTACTTGTAGTATTGCATTCCCCTCTGGAGTTGTAAGGTAATTGCATTAAAACATTTTATATATGTATGCATTTTAGTAAGGTTTTATAGTAGTAGATTTCCATATGCCTTTTTCAAAAAGGATTTTTTTAATTATTAATCATCTCTCTCCATATGCTCTATATGCCCTGATGAACCCTTCCCTCTCATGTTCCAGGACAATGTAAGTTTTCTTTTTGCGTAATTACCCTTTAACCCTTTGTACTCTTCTGAGTGGGCTATATTCAGAAGAAGAACCTCACATTAACTGACTCTGTGTTACACTGGCATCCCAGATCAGTAGGTAATTTTGTAATTTGGCATGACTGAGTCCAGACCTTGCCTAAGATGATGATTTAGGTGTGATATGCAAATATGGAGAGCAGTAAGTCTCCTACTCACCTGGTTCTATGATATGTGCACTAACCTTTATGAGCCACCCACTGGTGGTACATTTCGTGGGACCTGGCCTCAGGTGTAGACCTGATGACTCTTTCCCTTCAGTGACATGAACAATGACATTCTCTGCC